GACGATAACTTGAGCTGTAGACCTCGGATTTGGATGATTTTTAGACCATTGGAAAGTTAACTCGAAGGGATACAATTCTTGTGTTTACTGCTTTGCCAAATTCAGACTTTATCTTGCTCAGATTAGCACATCTGGTAACATGAAGATTTTGAGGCTTGTTGGAAAAAACATGGAGAGCTGGTGTGAATCATTCTCTTCCTCTAGCGCCAAACTGTTGTTGCACAATTTTGACACCAACGAATTGGACGTGCAAAGTGCTAAGTTGTCTATAGAAATTACATGTGATATGATTCATAAGAAGTGTTTATGGTGCTGAGATGATGTATGTTAGATGAAACATACATAAAAGATGGACAAGAGAGATTTTTATAGTGGTTCGGATGCTTAAAGCAAATCCTACATTCACTCATCCACTGTTATTTTATTATTCTCTGACTATTTTTATGATATTGCCTGTAAGGCGTACAAAGATGGAAGCTCAAATCTATGCCTAGCTCTCATATGCCCAACCTATCTTTTTCATGAAGAAATGTGCCAATTTATTCCTTTGAGGTAAATGTAATGAGTGCTTTTGCAAGTTGCCTTGACACGTGGAAACCACTTCTTAATCTTTATCTTAAAATGAGATATGATTGATATAAAATATCTTTTGGAGGCGGTTTGAGTTTTTGACAGATAATACTACCTTGTCTTTAAGTGTTTATTAAGCTCTAATAAGTGATGCAGACATGAGTGTGTATTTTTGGCACAATAAAAGCAATGGCCGAAATTGTAATTGCAAGCTGCCATTATGGAAGTATGTCTCTGTCACTTCTCACCCACACCCACTTCAAGATTGCTTTACTTTATGTCCATTTTTACACCTGTCAATCATTCACACTCTTCTTCTTCAATCTCCCCCAACTCTCTGCACTCACTTTTTTGTTGATTTATTCACTGACAAATTAGACCTTGACATCTTGTTTCCTGCATTATTATTAACTGTTAATCTGTCCCAAATCCCATGATTAATTAATTCGTTATGAAATGAAACAACTTGCTATGATTCTTCCCTACAAATCTTGTTGCTTCCTCTTTCTTGTTCACTTTTCTTCTAAGTGTGAAATAAAAAGGATAATGAGAACTCAGAAGCTCATTTATTTCTTCTACCTTGGTCACTCTTTTCAAGTGTGAAATTAAAGAAAGAAAAAGTGGCCATCAGTGTGAATTTAAGAAGATATTATTGTGCTGATCTTAGTCCAAAGAAAAGAAGAAAAAAAAAAAAAAAATACAATAATTTGATTATAAAACAAACAGGTTACCATCAATCTCTCTCTCAATGGGAATAGATTACAGCTTTCATCCACCACCCACTCAAGCAATCGCCTGCCTGGCTTACAACCAAACAATTAGATTCCAATCTTTATTCATTTCAATCTCTGTTTCAGATTCCAGCTATATATCCTCATCCCACTTAAATTATATAATAATATTAATTAAACGTAAAAGTCTGGTATAATCTTTTTTCTTTTCCTGACCAATCCTCAAGAGAAGTTATCCTACAGTAACCCACAACCGTGGCCTTCCAAGTAAATTATCGGCAAAAGTAGTACCGTTGCATCCAGTGGAAAATTGAACTTGGCACGAAAGATTACAGCCATGCACATCTCCCTTACTGTTGGGTTACCCATGGGTGGATAAAATGTTATAATCTTTGAGAAATAGGAAATAATGATCTTTTGTTATGTGGTGTTCATGAAGAGATTCAAACTTTATAACTGGTGGGGACAAAACACGTACCTAACAGTTCGACCAATCTTTTATAGATTGTTGATAATCATATAATAAATAAATATATATTTATTAATTTATATTAAAATTTTATTCAAGAAATTAAATTTGGAGGTGTAATATTGGTTGAAGTAATATGATGGCCCGCGAGTGAACAAGATTCCAAACAGGAAGGAGAGAGTATGAATGGTTTGTCTATTCAGGAGACCCTCCACTTTGGTATCTTGTGGTTGGCTATGTCTACGTAGATTCATGCCACATCCAACTTCCAAGCAATTAAATTTGTGATAAATGACTAATGGAGTCAATAATATAAGTTGACGAAGAATCTATATATATATTAATTTGTCATTTGTTTTAACCAATCAATTAGGGTTTGGTTAAGTAGTGCTTTCATTTTGGAACTAATTTAGCTTTTCTCTTTCTTGGACTTCTCAATTATTAATTTGTTGGATTTGGATCTATTATTGTTGATTGATCTCCTCGTCAAGACATGCAATTTCAATAGGAGATTAAGCAAGTTGGTTGTTTTTAATAGTTTAAAAATCAAATCAAATCAAACTTTTATATTTACTGTTAGAAGTTATATTTGGATCATATCGTAAGAGAGGATGTTAGACGTTATGTTTATCTCACATTACCCAAGTAATGGAATCATCATTCTTATTATACAATATATATGTATACTATTTCAAACATAATAACCAAATTTGGGATGATGATAAGTCCTGATGGGTTTTGGACCATAGCCGTGTATGCCAAATATTAGAAATGACATTTGTCATATATCATAAGGGAGAGTGTTAAAAGTTATGTTTATCCCATGGTTAAAATGGATAATAAAAATTTATAAAGTTTAAACCTGGGAGGCTAGGATTATGATTAATTATTAATTAAGAACAAGGCGGGCTGAACGTGACATCTTTTATTGAAATCACAATCCTCAACATAAATTTATATACTTGCCTTCATTAAGAGGGTTCAAATCTGGCCATAAATATTAAAATTTTATATACTTTGCTTTCAATCCCCATCCAATTTAATGAAACCATAATTTCATTAATCCATGTGCATTAATTTACCAACATATGAAAATCTTATATTAAAAGTGATTTTGTTGTTGTAAATAATAAAAAAAAAAATTAATTAATTTGTTTTTAATGTAAAAATAAAGTTGTTTAAGCATACATTTAAAACGATCTTATTTTAAAACAATTGAGTAATAGAATGATTACTTAAAGATGAGAGTTGGCAATGAAAAAAAAAGAAATCACCGTTTCCTAATTATTTAATTAATAAATAAAGATTGTGGACCTTGTGATTACTATTTTATTTATTTAAAATTAGGGGGTAAAGGATTTTCTGTAAATGACAATATTACCCTTGTAGTCAATTTGGGTACACGACCTAGACCCATCATCTTTGATACTATGATAAAACGGATTTGGTAGAACTTACCCTAAAAATTTAGTGGAAAGAGCTCACCCATGTAGTACTCCGTAACAGTCTACTAAATTAGTAATATACAATTACAAGGATGGATCTAATAGCTTATAAAAGCTGGCTAAACCAAAGTAAAGAGTGTGTGCTTTACTACTTCTTTGCAAATAAAGAAAGCTTCCTCCTTGGCCATGGCTCCAGCCACCACCTCCTCATTCTTTCCCAGATTTCTTCTTCTTTCACTCTGCCTTTTCTGGGGCTACGCTGTTGAAGCTAAATCAGAAACCTCTGTAACTGTTCAACTCTCTTCTCTCCTACCTTCACCNGAGTGAACAAGATTCCAAACAGGAAGGAGAGAGTATGAATGGTTTGTCTATTCAGGAGACCCTCCACTTTGGTATCTTGTGGTTGGCTATGTCTACGTAGATTCATGCCACATCCAACTTCCAAGCAATTAAATTTGTGATAAATGACTAATGGAGTCAATAATATAAGTTGACGAAGAATCTATATATATATTAATTTGTCATTTGTTTTAACCAATCAATTAGGGTTTGGTTAAGTAGTGCTTTCATTTTGGAACTAATTTAGCTTTTCTCTTTCTTGGACTTCTCAATTATTAATTTGTTGGATTTGGATCTATTATTGTTGATTGATCTCCTCGTCAAGACATGCAATTTCAATAGGAGATTAAGCAAGTTGGTTGTTTTTAATAGTTTAAAAATCAAATCAAATCAAACTTTTATATTTACTGTTAGAAGTTATATTTGGATCATATCGTAAGAGAGGATGTTAGACGTTATGTTTATCTCACATTACCCAAGTAATGGAATCATCATTCTTATTATACAATATATATGTATACTATTTCAAACATAATAACCAAATTTGGGATGATGATAAGTCCTGATGGGTTTTGGACCATAGCCGTGTATGCCAAATATTAGAAATGACATTTGTCATATATCATAAGGGAGAGTGTTAAAAGTTATGTTTATCCCATGGTTAAAATGGATAATAAAAATTTATAAAGTGTAAACCTGGTAGGCTAGGATTATGATTAATTATTAATTAAGAACAAGGCGGGCTGAACGTGACACCTTTTATTGAAATCACAATCCTCAACATAAATTTATATACTTGCCTTCATTAAGAGGGTTCAAATCTGGCCATAAATATTAAAATTTTGTATACTTTGCTTTCAATCCCCATCCAATTTAATGAAACCATAATTTCATTAATCCATGTGCATTAATTTACCAACATATGAAAATCTTATATTAAAAGTGATTTTGTTGTTGTAAATAATAAAAAAAAAAATTAATTAATTTGTTTTTAATGTAAAAATAAAGTTGTTTAAGCATACATTTAAAACGATCTTATTTTAAAACAATTGAGTAATAGAATGATTACTTAAAGATGAGAGTTGGCAATGAAAAAAAAAGAAATCACCGTTTCCTAATTATTTAATTAATAAATAAAGATTGTGGACCTTGTGATTACTATTTTATTTATTTAAAATTAGGGGGTAAAGGATTTTCTGTAAATGACAATATTACCCTTGTAGTCAATTTGGGTACACGACCTAGACCCATCATCTTTGATACTATGATAAAACGGATTTGGTAGAACTTACCCTAAAAATTTAGTGGAAAGAGCTCACCCATGTAGTACTCCGTAACAGTCTACTAAATTAGTAATATACAATTACAAGGATGGATCTAATAGCTTATAAAAGCTGGCTAAACCAAAGTAAAGAGTGTGTGCTTTACTACTTCTTTGCAAATAAAGAAAGCTTCCTCCTTGGCTATGGCTCCAGCCACCACCTCCTCATTCTTTCCCAGATTTCTTCTTCTTTCACTCTGCCTTTTCTGGGGCTACGCTGTTGAAGCTAAATCAGAAACCTCTGTAACTGTTCAACTCTCTTCTCTCCTACCTTCACCTGTTTGCACACCTTCCACCCATGGTAACATAATTTCAGTTCTCTAGTTTTCAGTTCATTTTATTTTCCATGCTATTTTTTTTTTTTTAAATGTTTAAGTAAACTATAAAGCTGCATATAGTCATATTTTGTTTTACATATGTGGAAGACTGAAAGTTTGCTCCTGATTGAAGAAAACCGATTCCGGTGAATGATTTTTGTGGTATTATAAAATCATGTAGAAAAAGATTTTTTTTGTTTGAAAATAAGTGAAAAATGTTACAAAGCACAACCACTACATTGTTTTCTTTTGCAAAGAAGTCAGAGTTAAAAGTCATTAGTCTTTTTGACTACTCAGATTACCCTGTTCCACCAACTTGTTCACAGTAACCAGTGTACTGCTGTATTCCAATTTTATATATATATATATACTGTTTTTCTTGTGTTTAATTTCAACTTGTCGATCACGGGCGATATATGAGAGATTAATTGTTTGTCTGTAACCAAAAGTTCAACTAATAGTTAAAAGTTTACTAAAAGAGCTGTCTGTTTCATTGTATTTATAACTGTTTGATTACTTCATGAGTTAATTATGCGTAATTTTTATTAATAATGGGGGGGATTTGAATCAATGTTTCAGCTGCCGGAAGGAAGTCGTCTTTGGAAGTAGTTCACAAGCGAGGTCCGTGTTTTAGAAATGGAGATCAGAAACCAAACTCTATTTCTCACTCGGAAATCCTCCTCTAAGATCAGGCTCGAGTTGATTCAATTCAATCAAAACTCTCCAAGAACTCCGGCCGTGCAGATAACGTAAAGCAGACTGACGCCGCTAATCTTCCAGCGAAAGACGGTAGCGTGGTGGGTTCAGGCAACTATATTGTTACAGTGGGACTTGGGTCACCAAAGAAAGAATTATCTCTCATTTTTGACACAGGAAGCGACCTCACATGGACACAATGTCAACCTTGCGCTAAATCTTGTTATCAACAAAAAGAACCAATCTTTGACCCCAGAGTTTCCAATACCTATGCCAACATTTCTTGCTCATCAACATTGTGCAATGCACTCACGTCAGCTACAGGTATAAATACATTAACAATTATACATCATCCTAATCTTTGAGTTTTTATTGAGTGGTCCATCTCCGGCTGGTTCATTCATTTGTTTATATGATAAGCATTTTCAAGTGGTCTATATTTTATATTATATCACTTTCAGATAAGATTGATTTGATTTGATTAATTCCAAAATTGTGTTGCAGGAAATGCGCCGAGTTGTGCATCATCAACATGCGTCTATGGCATCCAATACGGAGACTCTTCATTCTCCGTTGGATTCTTTGCCAAAGACACCATTAGCTTAACTCCTACAGAAGTTTTCCCCGGCTTCCTCTTCGGCTGCGGTGAAAACAACAAAGGATTATATGGAGGCGCTGCCGGTTTGCTCGGTCTTGGCCGTGACCAAATTTCTGTAGTCTCTCAAACTGCAACAAAATACAACAAGCTTTTCTCTTATTGCCTTCCATCAAGCCCCAGCTCAACTGGCTTCCTCACTTTTGGCAACGGTGGTGGCGTCTCAAAATCAGTACAATTCACTCCATTGTCTACCGTCTCTAAAGGATCCTCCTTTTACGGCCTTGACATTACTGGAATCAGCGTCGGCGGCCAGAAACTACCTATTCAACCATTAGTTTTTTCGTCGGCTGGAGCTATTATCGACTCAGGAACTGTGATCTCGCGCCTCCCACCTGACGCATACTCCTCTTTGCGGACAGCGTTTCGTCAAAAGATGTCAAAATATCCAACGGCACCGGCTCTTTCGATTCTTGACACGTGTTACGATTTGAGCAAATATACTACTTTTTCCGTCCCTACGATTAGCTTCTCCTTCAGCGGCGGTGTTGTGGTGAACCTTGAAGTGAGAGGGATCTTTTACGTCAATTCTCAGTCGCAAGTTTGTCTAGCTTTTGCCAGCAATAGTGACGCCAGTGACGTGGCAATCTTCGGGAATGTGCAGCAAAAGACTCTGGAGGTAGTGTACGACGCCGCCGGCGGGAGGGTTGGGTTTGCTCCGAAGGGTTGCGCTTAGCCAATTCTCTGCGCACAAATTTAACGAAGAAGAGAATCTTCTTCTGTTTGCTTCTTTCCATAAATATAATAATATCTCACTCTTAAATATTTTTAATTTTACATCTCAAATTATATAATTAAATAAATTTATATATAATTTAGTATGTAATGTTTGAAATTAATAGTGTAATATTAATGATTTGTGATGAGTTATAATGATAATATTAGTTCAATAAGGGCATGTTTGACATATGACACAAGGTAACATTAGAGACACTGTATAACACTAAATAATGTAGTGCTGTATTTGGTGACAAAACTATATAACATTAAATAATGTAAAGTCTAAAATAATACAATATACTCTGCTGCATAGATTAATGCAATTTACTCAATATTACCTTCAAGCAAATAAACATTGTCAAATTAATTTAATATTTATAAATTTAAATATGCAATGTTGGGTCAAATTAGGTCAACATTTAGCATAATATAATGTAATGCTAGGTTTAATGTTATGCTATGTCTGTGTCAAATATATCCTAAAATTATTATCAGTATTATTAGATTTTGAAGAGTATAGGTCGTGAAAATGATCCGTAAAAGCTAAAGATTCATTATAATCTGGAAGCAGCCAATTAAGATGATGATAATGGAGTTTGCATCAATGGGTTTTCACTTAATATTAAGGTCATTGTCTTGAATATAGTAAGTATGGATTGGTTAGGTAATACTAATTCAATTTCCAATCATTTTCATTAGCCCTTTGTCACTTCTTATTTGGACTCCTCATTGTATCACTTGAAAATTGAAATATCTTAAATAACTAATAGATACTAAGATAAATAAAAATAAATAAAATATCGACATAATAAAATTATAATAACTAATAATAATAAGAATAGTGCTATATTATATATAAGAAAAGAATAAGAGAAGGCGAAAATAAAGAGTATTGAGGTTCAATGGCCAATATCATTTCCTCTTGTCTTTCTTAGGATTTTACGGCATTGACATTACAGGAATCAGTGTTGCCGGCAAAAGAGTAAATATTCCAGAATCCACTGCAGGGGGGATTATTGACTCTGGAACTGCGACCACACGCTTGCCACCGGCTGCTTACTCTGCTTTGTGGTCAGCATTTCGTGAAGGAATCACCAAATATCCACTGGAACGTAATATGTCGATTCTTGATACGTGCTATGATTTTCGTAATTATACCACTATTGACGTGCCTACTGTAAGCTTCTTCTTCAATGGTGGTGTCGAGGCGAGCCTTGATGCGACAGGGATTGTATACATCTTTGATGCGTCGGAGGTGTGTCTTGCGTTTGCCAGCAATAAGGATGAGACTGACGTAACAATTTTTGGGAATGTACAGCAAAGGACGGTGGAGGTTGTGTATGATGGCGCCAGAGAGAGGGTTGGTTTTGTTCCCAAGGGTTGCATCTAGCTATAGGCTATAGCCAATATTTATATATTTTCTTCAAATTGGCCATTGTTATGTAGTTAATTACCTAATAATAATATTTTAACTTAATTTTATATCTTTACTGGAGTAAACAACTTTTTCAGTTTTATGGCAGTTTTTCACTTATAAATTTTTAAAATACTATTTTATTATTCAGATTTATATTCCGCTTTCAATTCTTCATTGTTGTAATCTTACACTATCACCATTCTTTTTCATGATCATCACTCATCAAAACCTCTTAAACCTTATTCCTATTGATTTCGTCAATCGTCGACAATCGAGCGATTATAGTTTACACAATTACCCCTTTAAGTCAAATTCCGATAATCCTAACCACTAAAATCCAACATTTCACTACTAAAAGACTCAACAGTCTAGACCAAGTTTGCTCTCTGTTCACCGTCAGAATATAAATTTGGATAATAGAATGATATTTTAAAAATCTATAAGTGAGAAAACGTCATTAAATCATTATTTGGGTGTAAAAAAATGGTTAACTCTCTTTATTAAATGATTAGCATTAAATTAGCTGTTTCATCATTTGAATATTATAGTATTAATTATAAAAAAGGATTTCCTTCCTAAAGTTTAAAATATCAACTCTCAAACCTTCATCCTTCCATGTAAGTAAAAAAATAATAATTATGGTGACATAATTAATTCATGGAAAGAATTAAGTAATATATAATTAAAATCGAAATAATTAATCCATCCTTCCATGTAAGGAATATATAATTAAAAATTTAAAACAGAAGATTTTACAAACAAACCATAACTGGTCACCTTTTAATTTGTTGTACAGTTTCTTATTATGGCATCGAACAGTTACTCTTAGTTGTTATATTTATAGGAAGAAAAATAAGTAAATTGAAAAGAAAAAAGAATTGACCCCTTATACAATAAGCGAAGAGTTTTAGATAAAAGTATCGAGGTCCATGGACAATACCATTTCCTTCCGTCTTTCCTAGCCTTCTCTGCTTCTTCAAGAACGGTTATTCCTTTGACACACAGAGCCGACAAAAACTTCGTAATCATACACATATTATTCAACTCAGCTCTCTTTTACCATCCACTGTTTGCAATCCTTCTACCACCCAAGGTTAACTTTCATATTTTAATTCTGATTTTGTATGTGTTTGGTGATAGTAATATATTATACATGTGAATCTGCGTGTATCCTTAATAGCGTTACATGTTTTAGCAGGCGAAAGGCAGTCATCTTCGAGATTAGTCCACAGATATGGCCCGTGTTTTCAACATAAAGGAGGAGACAAACCAAATTTTCCATTCAAAGAGAGATCCTCCTCCAAGATCAGTCTCGTTTTAAATGGATTCAATCTAGATTCTCCGAATACTCTGGCCGTTCTGACAAAAAGAACACAAACGCAGCCACAATCCCCATCAGCAACGGCGAGTTCTTCAATACTCTCAATTACGTTGTGAGAGTGGGGCTTGGCACCCCAGTGCAATATGTTTTATTAACATTGGACACAGGAAGCGACCTTCTGTGGACACAATGCGAGCCTCCTTGCAGCACCGGAAATTGCTATCAACAGAATGAACCAAAATTTGACACTCGTGAATCAATTACATATACAAACGTTTCTTGCTCAGCACCAATGTGTGAAACATTCAAGTTTGGTGCAGGTAAATGATTTGAAATTTGGGAAGCAAAGTACAATTAGCTGGAGTTAATGTCAATGTGAAAATACATATTAGATGGAATTTTTTGACACTTTTTTGCTGTAGAAGCCCATCAAATTGTGCAACCTCAACATGCACCTATGGCATCCGGTACGCAGACACTTCATATTCCTTGGGATTTGTCAGCCAGGAAACAATTACCTTAACCTCTTCTGACGTTTTCAGCAAACTTCTACTTTGGTTGCGGCCAAAACAACCCGGGCCTCTTCGGTTCAGTGGGTGGTTTGCTCGGTCTTAACCGAAATCCAATCTCATTCCCCTCTCAAACTGCATATAAATACGAGAAGTTCTTCTCTTACTGCATTCCTTCATCGGTCAGCACAACAGGTCATCTCACTTTTGGCAACGCTGGTGGCCTCTCAAAAATAGCAAAATTCACTCCAATCCCACCTGCATTTAAGAACGCATCTTTTTACGGCCTTGACATACCGTAATCAGTTTTGCCGGCAAAAACCTAAGTATTCCACGATCAGTTTTTACAAAAGCAGGCGCCATTATTGACTCAGGAGTCGAGGTCACACGCCTCAGTGGAGGCATACTCGTCTTTGCGGACTGCATTTCGTGAATTATGGCCGGATATCCTGTGACACAGCCTTACTACTTTTGGTTTGATACCTGCTATGATTCTAGTGGTTATACTAGTATTCCTTGCCTGATATGAGCTTCTTCTTGGTGATGATGTTGAGGTGAACTTGATGTCACAGGGATTCTTTATGGTTAGTGCGTCGAAGGTGTGTCTAGCTTTCAGTCCCATTAAAATGCAGATGAAGTTACAGTTTTTGGATTGCGCAGCAAAAGACGCTGGAGGTGGTGTATGATGGCGTCGAAAGATCGGTTTGCACCTAGGGGTTGCAGCTAGGCCAAGCCACCTATTAAAGATCATATCTCTTCAAATTGGTCATATCGCTGTAAATTTATCTCAATTATTTGTTAAGTGATGTGATTGTATAAAATTAAATGTCGTTTCATTGCAAAATGAAGAGTAATATTATGTAAATTATTATACATAAAGAGAATGATCATTTATTTATCTTTTGTATAGGATGAGAAAGTGTTAAAACGAGTGAGAAACAGGGTGTTGTCTCTTTTAACATTAATTATCGTTAATAGAATATTTATTATTTATAATCTTATTCTACTTTTAAATGTAATCTTATTTTACTTGAATACCAAAAGACAAGACACTGAACACACATCGGAACCCGTTTGTGTACTCCTAAAGCAAGAAAATGAAACAGAACCGCTCGCCGGCAACCCATCTTACAAACAAACTAGTTTATGAATTAATACAACGGTCAAATTGTCTACCTCAAAAAAGGATTATTAAGTCCCTTTAATTTGGAGCATGCTATGCTAGTAGAACATTATTGTTTAATTTGTTTAGAGTTTGTTGTGGCATCAAACAGTTATTTTTGGTTATAGACATGAAAATAATAATAGTAATAACAAAAAAAAAAAAAAAAAAAGAATTAATTAATCTTTATTTAAAAGTGAGAAGAGCTAGATTTTTATTTAATAAGATTTTTTTGAGGTCCATGGCTAGTACCATTTCCTCCACCTGTCTTGGGTTTCTTCTCTCTGCTCATCTTCTTTATTATGCCTTCTCTGCTCTATGAAGAATGGCTATTCTTTTGAAGCAGATCCGCAAGAGCCAACATGAACTTCGTAATCATTCGCATATTATTCAACTCAGCTCTCTTTTACCATCGTGTTTGCAATCCTTTCACCGAAGGTTAACTTTCACATTTAATTCTTTAATTTTCTGAATGTCTTTGGGTGCTATCTAGGGGCAGTTTATTAAAGGCCATCTCAAGTTTAAATTTAATTAAAAGGCTAGGAATTTTTAAATGTTAACTAAATAGCATTATTATTGATTAAGGGTAATTAAACTTGATTAGTGCTTAATTAGGATTAATGAATTATTATGTAATCTTTAA